TTTACTCTCGCGCATCTACTCGTGAGTGGATTAATTTTGACTCCGCGATAAGTCCTGCTGCCTGGCTTATTAACGTAACTCTCCCGCGCTTTCACCCGCTCCTTTTATTGGACGACTTTGAACTCTGCTCTGCTAGCAGCACGATATTTGATCAATTACGCAACCCCTTGGTCTCGCGCCATACACCGTAAATGTCACGGTACTTGATAGAAATGACTTTTCACGAAGCTTGTCTTGTCTCTCTTCTTTTTCAAGCGAAGACACTTGCCGGTGGATTTGATGGTAGACGATCGGTCGACGCTCGCGAGTAACACCTGTGATTAACGATCTGGGAAATAAATGCCTCGTTGATCACTGCCCGTATCCGCGCCCGCGCTACCTCTCACGCTATTATTAATGATATTTGTAATGAAAGGCGGTGGGGGGAGGTGGGAGGAGGAGAGAAGCCTATATTCGAGAACTGACCTGCACCGAGTAATTGGTATGCTTCTCCAGATTGGTTAATCCTACGGTGAGGGCAGTGGTGCTTTTGGTTTCAACTTTGGTCGAATCGGTGAGCGCGTCCATGTTCTCATACATGACTTTGTAACCCTTGAGTATCCCGTTGAGGCTCGAATTTGGAAGTGGGTCCCATGATACTTGGAGAGATTGCGAGGTCAGAGCCGTGCATCGGACGTCTTGCGGCGGACTTGACGGCACTGTAATATAAGCGCATTCGGGGATTCACAGGCCGTATCAGAGTTTCACATAAATAAATTACTTATTCGTGAGCTCATGTATAAGAGAAGACTCATGAGTGAAAATTATTAAACGGGGCAGAGTTGTTCTTATTGCCAATGGAGTTGATCCTCTGTTGAGAGCCCCCAGAGCATCAAGATTGTCGTAATTTGTGGGGAGAAAAACGAAGGGATGCTAAACCAGGTATTTTTTGTTTTTCGTTTTGAAATTCGCTTTAATGAGGACGTCTTCATACTTGTTGTCGATGATTGTTCAAATTATGTCTTGACAATAAGTTTGGAAAATCGGGGAATGACCGAAACGGCGGTCTTCGACTCGACTGTACTTACCGTCTTCCAGCGTCGTGGCGATAACCTCGGGAGTCATGGGCCCAGCTCCGAGGGCATTGTAAGCCTGGACTACGAGGCTGTAGCGAGTGTACTTTTTGAGATTCATGATCTGACACTGTCGACCTGGTATCGCCGTCCTTGCCAGTCCAAGAGCTATGCTGGCCGTGGAGATGCGGCCTTCGACTGTGCGGTAGACGTACTCGGAGCCGTGCCTGGAAGAGGACACCGATTATCTCTCGGATTTTCTCATCTCTCGACACTCGCATGTTCAATAAACTGAGAAAGCTCCGGACTTTTTTTGGACTCGCTGGTGCGAGGCTGGAGGAATATCATTTGCTGTGGGAGTGGAATGTTGTTAGAGAATTCGCTTGCGAAGAAATTTGGATAAAGCGATATAAGGATCTTTTGCATGTAATATGACTTGGCCAAGGCCAATGTGTTTGAAAGAGCAGATATGTATTGGTCGATGATCAATTAATTCAGAAAACGAGAGAGTGAGAGAACAGGGTATGCAGAGAAAATACATTATCATCGGATTATAAAATGTTCGCGATCCATTGCGCTAAGCCTTTCGGTTTATTAGATAAATCATGTTATTGTCCGTACGGCAGTGGAACTTGCAATATTAATATTCGAATGCAGTTGATTGGCCATTAATTGAAAGATTTCTTCAAATACAATTATTTATATAATATCTATTAACGTGTAATTTCGCTGAAAGTTTCTTGTAAATTAAAGTTAAGCTGCCCAGTACAAATACTAAATTAAGACGAATGAATCTAAAATTAAGAGAGAAATTTCTGGAAGTCATAAAACTTTGTTCATTTTCAATTCCAGATGGGATAAATCTTGAACTTGTTGCATCCCGCCTTTAGCTCCAATTTTACCTCAAAGTATAATTTTCTAAAAGTGCTATAGCTTGAAAAACTTCAAACCTGTATAATTGTAATTACTTGAAATAATTCTTCTAACACACATTGAAAAATGAAAAGTTCATTATTATAAGCGCTATTTCATTCATTTTTCTGTCATAATAATTGTAATGTTTATAAGATGAAAGAGATTGCTTTATTATTTAGCAATTATGTGATGCGCGCGTATTAATTGGTATGCGCGCGAGCACGATAACGCGACCATATGAACCTTATCAAAGGCATTTAATACAAATTGTTTCTTTTTATTTGAAAATTGCATATTGAAAAACATTATATCATGTAAAATAAGTTGGAGATTTTTATAGAAAGAAAAAACAAATGAAAAACAAAATAAAATGGAAAAAAAAAATGTTCCCATTGCCAGTGTTACATGGAGTGAGGAACTACAGCCTCGTCAAATAAAAAATAAAGCGGCTAAAGTTTTATTTTTTTATCTTTTTACCTTTGCTCCTTATAGCCAACGTGATAACCAAGAATTTCGCCATTCCACAAATCATCGTCCGGTGGATCCCACGTTACTTTCAATTCCGTCGAACTCACAGACTCGATCTTCAGATTCTTAGGCGGTCCACCTGGCGTTTCACCTTCCGTCATCGCGTCTAAAATCTACGCGCGAATGCATCCCAGGTTGTTCGACATCATGGACAAACACGCAATTATAAAATATAATAATTAATAGGGGTAAAATTGCTTTTAATACATAATCAATGCTTCCCCTAAAGGGTCAATAATTGAAGCAAACATTACTATCCAAATGTAAAAATATGCACGAAATGTTTTATCTCACGACTATTATGATTTATAGAATGGCAAATAATTTGAAAAGCGAGAGAAAAATAATTATGTATTGAATTTTTTGTATTGAATAAGGATACACAATGTGCTTCACATTGATTCGATTGGGCGTATAAAAATTGAGTGTATTGCGATCGTATTCCATAGGCCGTAACTCTGGGAAAACGTGAATACGTTTGAAAACATTGAAATTCAATGGTAATTAATTTATATTCAATATCAATCATAATGTATATATATATATATATGTATATGTGTGTGTGTGTCAATCTTTTATTTTTATTCATAAAATCGGAAAATATCTTAATGTGTGAAATAAAGTTTGAAATGTTTGCTCGATGCTTAATTTTCCGTATACTTTAGTATTCGTCTTTAACTTTTTTACTATTCGCACTTTCCGAAATATCAGTTTTAAACAGTGATTTGAGAAATTTAAATTTTATAATTTTCCGTCTGTTGATAAGTATTTTATGCTTTTACGAACAAAAACGAAATCTCAAAGTATTTTTTATCGATATTTTTATCTTAGTGGAAAGACAAGCGAAATTATTAAACATTTGTATATGGCTTTTTTAAATTATACGTTGACTTTTATATGAATTACGATTCTTTTGTTGTTTGTACTTGATAAATTTTTAATATAAATCAACTTGTAGATGAAACAACAATGATTTCTTAATTCATTGTTTCTTCATCTGATATCGAAAGCACAAGAAAAATGCTAATTTTCCAATATTATAGACAGATTAAAGATAGATAGAAGATTTCGATAATTTTATATTCATTATTAAATCAGTAAAATACAGTAGACACTATTTAATTTAAAATTGATTGGGTATAAGATGGGAATAAAGAAAAGAAAAGAATTGAGGAGAAATAAATGTTTGTGATGATGATATGACATGAGGTATGAATTGGAATTAATTTCAAATAAACGTCGTTTATAAATATTAAACTTATGAAGCTCGAGTATTGGCATTCTTTGTCAATTAATCGGTCAGGCAATTAATAGGCAGACCTTATTAATCCAAATGCTCATATAAATTATATACATACGTCACTTGGCTGACTTCTGCCAAGTTCGTTCTCGGCGAAAATGCGAAATTGATATGTAACCGCTGGTCGAAGGCCGCTTATGTGGGCGTGTGCCTGAGTCCCGGGCACCGTCGTGTGAAACGTATGGTCGTGCCAAACTTCTGAAATGGCAAGTTATCCAACTATTCAATATCTCGTTTCTCCACTCCATTGTCTGTCCCATTTTAACGATCGCAAGCTCTTTCTCTCCACATTTGTGCCAATAATTTCGGAGATTATAATAAGGAAGAAGGCTCTTTAAAGCAGCAAAATTTCTTATTATGCAACAACGGACCTTTATCGATGGACGGCTAATGGATATTTCATGAGAGTCAATTTCACTTGTCATATCGCATTCATAACTTCATTTAACAAGGAAATCATCCTTCACACTTGCAAAAACAATAAATAATCATTATTTTTTTATCGACCGTATCAACATTTCAATAAACTTTTTCACGTTCATCGGCACATGCGCGCGAGCATGGAGGATCGCGAGCGTCAAAATTTCTCGGCAAGAGGATAAATTTTCACGTCGCTTTGGATTTAAAATTGTTCATAAGAATATACAAAATTTTAGAACATTACCTGCTTCGGTTTTGTATTCGATGATGTATTGCGTGATGGGGCTGTTGCCATCCTGACTCGTTATCCACCCGAGCTTTATAAAGCGACTTCCTTTCTCAACAACGCGCAAATTTCTTGGAAAGTCCGGGGGTTCTACAGTTTATAATTAAAAATCCTCGATTATTTATTGTGTAATTGGGAAAATTGCTTCGTTTCAATTTATTGTCATTGGGATCCCTGTTAATAACATCCGCCTTATTTATGTATGTCCTCGACATTTCCCCCCCCCCCCCCCCCCCCCCCCA